ATGAATAGTTTACAGTGTCTGATTTCGATACCTGGATTTATCAGTGATATCATACTAATATTCAGGAAAATTTCGCCTGACAATTTTTTCCAGACCGCTGTTTCTCAGAAGCTTTGATGACGTCACTAGAGATTCGCTAATATTGCAGTATTCATTTTTTGACGAATAACAGTCTCACTGACTATCTAACGAAAAATTTCCCTGTGAGGGTTAAAAGGGATCTCTTTTTATGTAGGAAATGCCTTCAAAAATAAACTAGTATTGCCATCGGAAGGGTAATAAAAGAGAAATAAATGAACGCTGGCAACATCCCGCTCCCGCCTGGACTTCCCTGGGCAGGCGATGAGAGGACGTATAAAGCAACGCGCTCTCAGTGCAGCTCAGAGTGCAGCTTGCAACTGAAGTTACAGTAAGTCGCTACTCATTCCATTGATATATCAGTTTATATCACTTTCTATGTTTTTCTATATCAGATACAACATTTAATGACCTTTTCAGATTAACTATAGAATAAAAGTAACGCCTTTTTTCTCACTCAAGATGGTTCGCAACGTGGCCGTGACCTCCCTCCTCGTGGCTCTGTGCCTCGTGGCAGCAGTTGCTGGACACAGCAGGTACGGCATTGGCGGTCGGCGGTGGGTGCTCGGTGGTGTCACGGAGGTGTCCATGTGTCCACGGAGTGTCCACGGAGTGCGGTCCATGGAGGTGGCGTCCATGGCCTAGGACTCGTAGGCTCTGGCATCCACGGCGCTGGATCCTTCAACACCGCTCATTACCCTGGTCTTGTGCCTGGTACAGCTTCTACGACCAAAGACCCGTGCTCGGATACAACAGCTGCAAGTACTGGTGCAAGAGTCATTACACCAACAAGTACTACTGCTGCCAACAACCTTACCAAGGATAGGCTTAGAATTCCTCACCGAAATGTATTTATTTGTTCTGTTATATTGCTTAAAGTGGTTTATTGTTCCTCAAGAATAAAAGTTATTTTGATGACTCCGTTTATCTGATTACCTTTCATATCACACTTTTTAACTACCATATCCTGAGAACTCATACGTATATAAATAAATATAATATAATATATATATATATATATATATATATATATATATATATATATATATATATATATATATATACATAAGAAGACAGATAATTAACCCACGCACACACATATGTACATATAAAAGTAGTGTATACTCAGCTAACCACGAGATACGACTTGCAGTGCGACTTAACATATTCGAGCGTTCACATGGTCCATTTAACCAATTAATTAAGATGATTTAGAACCCGCTGAGCCTATGACCGGAGCTATATGGAATATAAAGAAATAATAGATATATATGCAAAAGCTAAATATACTTTGAAAAAAATCGGTTTCTATGTCCTCTGTATATTACAGAGAAAATGTATATACCTTTTCGGATTACGTATAGTATAAAAATATTGAGAAAAATGCTCGACCGGCTAATAACGTGGCAGTGACCTCCCTCCTCGTGGCTCTGTTCCTCGTGGCAGTTGCTAGATACAGCAGATATGGCATTGGAGGACATAGACCTCTTGTCCACGGCAGTGAAGTGCTGGGTGGTGTCCACGGAGGTGTCCACGGAAGTGTCCTTCGTGGCTCTGTGCCTCGTGGCAGCAGTTGCTGGACACAGCAGGTACGGCATTGGCGGATACGGCGGTGGGGTGCTCGGTGGTGTCCACGGAGGTGTCCTTGGTGGTGTTCACGGCGGTGCCATCGGAGGTGTCCATGGAGGTGGCGTCCATGGCCTAGGACTCGTAGGCTCTGGCATCCACGGCGCTGGATCCTTCAACACCGCTCATTACCCTGGCCCTTTGCCTGGTTACAGCTTCTGCGATCAAAGACCCGTGCTCGGATACAACAGCTGCAAGTACTGGAGTCATTACACCAGCATGTACTACTACTATCAACCTTACGAAAGATAGACTCAAAATTTGAAAACTTTACTTTTATTGTTAAAGCATCAAAAAGAATAATATTATTTTCACGACTCCTTTTGATGTTATATCCCTCTTTCCTTTATTAGGCTCTGCAAACTCATCCTCATATTCAAATATTCACATGCACTTAAACTGTACATAAACAGACAGCCAGACGGATAATGTTTATGTTTATACGTAAAAGCTCAAAGTTATACTGTAGCGTTTGCTAATTAAATATACGTACAAGGCTCTTTGAAGAGGTGTAAAGCTCACTACCACCACCTGATTAATACGTTCAGGAACGAGTGTTCTGTGTCTGAAAGGATCCTGTGCCAAAAGAATTGTGGAAAGGAGCGATAGTAGTGTATGTATGCGTGTGTGGTGTCGTTGTGGAAATGAGCTGAAGGGAGGGTAAGCGTGGTTGGCATCCCGAGGAGGGGCGTGTATAGATGCTTTATTTATACTTTAGGGTTTTAGATTGTTTGCTCTTTCAAAACATTAAAATATATTAAGGTCGTGTTCGGCCTTCCTTCTTACAAGGGTCGGGGACTTGACAAAAACTATATAAAATGAGCTATTTATTTCGTAAAAAAAAAAAAAAAAAAAAAAAAAAAAAAAAAAAAAAAAAAAAAAAACACGAACACAATAAAACACAAACACAGTAAAACAAACACTAAAACACAAACAAAAACACAAGCACTATAGCACGACATTGACATAAAACACAGTAAACACAAGCACTATTAAAATAAATAAATAAAATAGAGAACCAACTTTTCTCATGTATACACAGCATCTTCATCCTTAGCTCTCTTTTGCCTCGACCACCTTTCCTTCGCACCACAACCTCGCGAGTCCAGCCCTGGAACCTGGGACTCTGGAACTCCCGTGCGCGGGGCGGGAACTTTCCCTTGTCACCTCGGCCCGCGGAACAATATTGGTTCTCTTTGGGTTTGTAAAAAATAAAAAAAATACAAAATCATTAAAATAGCTTTTCCATATTCATTAAAATAGTCCTTAATGTTCCATTTATAAAATTGATAAACAAAACTTCCATGAAATAAATTAGTAAAATGAGAAACGAGAACCATGATGTAGTGTATAAAAATGTATAATAAAAATAAAAGTTCATAAAATGTTCAATATAGAATATACTGCAATGTTTCAAAATAGGAATCATAAAACGTACTTAAGAGTATTATGGATCATAGAATATGTTTCTTAATTAATTTTCTTGGTAGTCTTTTCTTTCGGTATAAGGCTCATTATAAACACAACGTAAAAATGTTTATTAAAATATCACTTAAAACAATAAAACATAAAACATTAAAGCATAAAAGAAAAACGAATTCAGCGAAGCCTCGCAGGTGAGTCACTCCGGGTAGCTTCCCGTTTTCTATGATCCGCAGCCTCCTCCCCGCGACGAGCATCCTCACCCCCGGGGGATAAACACAGGGGTTGTGAACGATCTCGGAGACGAAGGAAGACGCGACCTCCGCCGTGGAGCGAGGGTGGATGTCGCGCTTCATCTCGAAAGGGACGGGGAAGAAAGACGCTTGCAGGGGACCGCTGGGAGCAGATACAGGCGGTCCGCTACAACACGACGTGCAGTTCGACTGAATATTTCGAGATATACGTGAAAAATTTTATGTAACAAATGTGAAGAAAGGATTTTGAAATTCCACAGATCATGTACCGGAGTTAAAAGATTAAAATGAATGAATTTATCTCTAAGAGTACTAAATCAAATTCAGATTTTTTTCTCTCTCTCTCTTTACTCATTTTAAGGCATTTTCATTGCCTCGTGTTGCGACTAAAACATTTTGTCAACAAAATGTTTATTAAAAAGATAAGATTCGGAGATAAATTTCTCTTTCCCTGCCATTCTTCCTTCACTTTCTAAGACTGCCAGTCAACATTACCCATTTAAACTGAAACCCGCATGATATTCACCTAACCATAATCGGCAAGTAAGGTTACTGAAGATTTAACATTACTAAAAGGCAAGACTTAACATGTATCAAAAATGTTACCAGAAGTTGAAGATTTAATTCTCTGAATAAACACTAGAATTAGATGAATCTTAAGACGCCAAGTGTGAATATGGCAGCAAGTATCTTAGTTAAAGTTCACCAATTCTATTTTCGATCCACGTGATTGCACTGTGTTATGAATAAACGTGTGCTGCCTTCGTAACATCACACGCCTTCCCTCCAGACGCTCCTCTGAGTAAGGATAAACGATCTAGATTCTAGACTCAAAACAGTAGCGACGAATACATAAAATTTTACAAGACACAGACGTTTGTGTTCACGGCTGTTTTACAGGAATCCTAATACATACACACATACATACACACACACACACATTATATATATATTATATATATATATTAATATATATATATATATATTTATCTATTTATCTATATATTGTGTAACAGTTAAAAGGTTGAAAGGTTTATATTTGTTTTATCATACGTTACTTTATACTCAAATTCATATTACGAATCTCATTTCACGTACTCGTAAAGCCCTTATCTACGTAAAATTTCCCATATACTCAACAGTTTCATATATTCACCAAAACAGATCCATCAGGATACCTTATTTAAATGAAAAAATAATGTATATAGTGTAGGTGACCATCGCTCTATTTTCCTCTACACCAGCCTCAATATATGCCTAACGTAGCACCTAAATAGTTTATAGAATGACTTCTACGTAAAACTTTGGTGCTATGGACTTTCCAGCTATTCCTATCGGGGAACGCTTAAATCTGTTTATCTCTGTCTGCCTGTATACCATTCAGTCTATTCATCTATCTTTACCTACCTATCTTTTGGGTGTCTATCCAGCCCGATAATGAAAGGGTTAAAGCTCATTCAGAGATGAGAAGTGCGTGGGAAAATCAGATAAGCGGGCTTTTCCAGACTAAGCTACTCACCTGCAATATTTGATTACGTCATCAAAAGTTGCCAAGTTCTTCCCACATTCAGTCATTTATATGATTTATTTTATTTTATTTTTATCTATCTATTTTTAAATTTAATGTAAAAAACACTTCTTATTAAAATTCAAATATATGATTTATTTTATGATACCTTGAGATATAAGTTCTTGTTAACAAACAATAGAAAAGTAATGAACGTTGGCAACACTTCACTCGCGCCTGGAGTTCCCTGGGCGAGAGTTGAAGGCGATGCGGGTACGTATATAAGGAGGCGCCGTCAATGAATGCTCAGAGTGCAGCTTCCAGTTGAAGTTCAAGTAAGTCACTACCATAACGAACTCATATATTCCATTAAAAGTTCGAATCAGATTAGGTGTCATGGTACGGTTGTGTAATATTTATAATTAATGTATATTTCTTTTCTTCTCAGGATGGCTCGTAACGTGGCAGTGACCTCCCTCCTCGTGGCTCTGTGCCTCGTAGCAGCAGTTGCTGGACACAGCAGGTACGGCATTGGCGGATTCGGCGGTGGGGTGCTCGGTGGTGTCCACGGAGGTGTCCTTGGTGGTGTTCACGGCGGTGCCATCGGAGGTGTCCATGGAGGTGGCGTCCATGGCCTAGGACTCGTAGGCTCTGGCATCCACGGCGCTGGATCCTTCAACACCGCTCATTACCCTGGTCTTGTGCCTGGTCACAGCTTCTACGACCAAAGACCCGTGCTCGGATACAACAGCTGCAAGTACTGGTGCAAGAGTCATTACACCAACAAGTACTACTGCTGCCAACAACCTTACCAGGGATAGGCTTAGAATTCCTCACCTAAATGTATTTATTTGTTCTGTTATATTGCTTAAAGTGGTTTATTGTTCCTCAAGAATAAAAGTTCTTTTGATGACTCCGTCTATCTGATTTCCTTTCATGTCACATTTTTATCCACTATAGCCTGAGAACTCATACGTTTATACATTTATTCACATTCACATAAGACAGATAATTAACACACATATACATATAGATTAGTGTATACACTGCTAACCACGACTTCACATGGTCCTTTTAACCAATAAATAAATAAGATGATTTTGAACTTCCGCTGGACCTATGACCGGAGCTGTATGGAATATAAAGAAATAATAGATTATATATACAAAGGTTAAATAGTTCTGAGAAAAACTCAGTTTCTATGTCCCTCTGTATATTACATACAGGATAGACATAGAAAATATATATACCTCTTCGGATTACATATAGTATAAAAATATTGAGAAAAAAGTTCGACCGGCTCGTAACGTGGCAATGACTTTCCTCCTCGTGTTAAAAGATTAAAGGAAAGAATGAATTTATCTCTGAGTACTAAATCAAATTCAGAAAAAAAAATCTCTACTCATTTTAAGGTAGTTTCATTGCCTCGTGTTACCACTAAAACATTTTGTCAACAAAATGTTTGTGATAAAGATAAGATTTGGAAATGAATTTCTCTTTCCCTGCCATGATTTTCTAAAAATCTCTTTCCCTGCCATTCTTCCTTGATTTTCTTCTCAACATTACCCAATTTAACTGAAACCCGTATGATATTCACCTAACCATAATCGGCAAGTAAGGTTACTGAAGAATTTAACATTACTAAAAGGCAAGACATTAACATGTATCTCTAAAATATTACCAGAAGTTGAAGATTTAATTCTCCGAATAAGAACAGAATTAGATGAATCCTAAGAGACCAGGTATGAATACGGCAGCAAGTATCTCAGTTAAAGTTCGCCAATTCTATTTTCGATCCACGTGATTGCACTGTAAGTTCTGAATAAACGTGTGCTGCCTTCGTAACATCACACGCCTTCCCTCCAGACGCTCCTCTGAGTAAGGATAAACGATCTAGATTCTAGACTCTAAACTGTAGCGACGAATACATAAACTTTTACAAGACAGACGTTTGTGTTCACGGCTGTGTTTTTACAGGAATCCTAATACATACACACATACATGTCATATATATATATATATATTATATATATATATATTGTGTAAAAGTTAAAAGGATTTAAAGGTTTATATTTGTTTTTATCATACGTTACTTAATACTCAAATTCATATATACGAATAATCTCATTTTATCTACGTAAAATTTCCCATATACTCAACAGTTTCATATATTAACCAAAACAGATCCATCAGGATAGCTTATTAATAAAAAAAAATGTATATATAAAGTGTAGGTGACCATCGCTCTATTTTCCTCTACACCAGCCTCAATATATGCCTAACGTAGCACCTAAAACAGTATTATAGAATGACTTCTACGTAAAACTTTGGTGCTATGGACTTTCCAGCTATTCCTATCGGGGAACGCTTAAATCTGTTTATCTCTGTCTGCCTGTATACCATTCAGTCTATTCATCTATCTTTACCTACCTATCTTTTGGGTGTCTATCCAGCCCGATAATGAAAGGGTTAAAGCTCATTCAGAGATGAGAAGTGCGTGGGAAAATCAGATAAGCGGGCTTTTCCAGACTAAGCTACTCACCTGCAATATTTGATTACGTCATCAAAAGTTGCCAAGTTCTTCCCACATTCAGTCATTTATATGATTTATTTTATTTTATTTTTATTTATTTTTAAATTTAATGTACAAAAACATTTCTTATTAAAATTCAAATATATGATTTATTTTATGATACCTTGAGATATAAGTTCTCCTTCTTAGCAAACAATAGAAAAGTAATGAACGTTGGCAACACTTCACTCGCGCCTGGAGTTCCCTGGGCGAGAGTTGAAGGCGATGCGGGTACGTATATAAGGAGGCGCCGTCAATGAATGCTCAGAGTGCAGCTTCCAGCTGAAGTTCAAGTAAGTCACTACCATAACGAACTCATATATTTCATTAAAAGTTCGAATCTGATTAGGTGTCATAGTACGGTTGTGTAATATTTATAATTAATGTATATTTCTTTTCTTCTCAGGATGGCTCGTAACGTGGCAGTGACCTCCCTCCTCGTGGCTCTGTGCCTCGTGGCAGCAGTTGCTGGACACAGCAGGTACGGCATTGGCGGATTCGGCGGTGGGGTGCTCGGTGGTGTCCACGGAGGTGTCCTTGGTGGTGTTCACGGCGGTGCCATCGGAGGTGTCCATGGAGGTGGCGTCCATGGCCTAGGACTCGTAGGCTCTGGCATCCACGGCGCTGGATCCTTCAACACCGCTCATTACCCTGGTCTTGTGCCTGGTTACAGCTTCTACGACCAAAGACCCGTGCTCGGATACAACAGCTGCAAGTACTGGTGCAAGAGTCATTACACCAACAAGTACTACTGCTGTCAACAACCTTACCAGGGATAGAATTCTTCAATGAAAAATATTTATGTTAATCGTCTGTTATAGTACCACTAATATTGTTTGCTCAAAAATAAAACTTATTTTAGTTACATTTTTTCATATTATTTCTCATACTCCTGTTTCTGCAAATTTTCATAAACTTACATTTTCAAAATTACATACACGTATTACATACAAATGAATGTATATAACTTTAGATAAATAAATATATACATCACATATTTTGAAAATATGTATGTATAAATACATGTATGATATATACATATATACATATGCAAATGTATGTATAATGTCTGCATACATATGCGTACATATATATATATATATATATATATATATATATATATATATATATATATATATATATATATATATATATACATAAACACCCAAACAAAGAACCTGCGATTTTTGCTTTATTTATATTCGTTATTTTTTTTTTTTTTTTTTTTTTTTTTTTTTTTTAGATTCGTAACCCAAAATCGGACAGCGTAAACACAGATGATCATGTAGATTGGGGTGCTTTCACAGAAATGCAAGGCTACTAATTGTCATTAAGCCAAAGGTCAAGCAATTTTCGGTTTTAATTTCATGTTGGTATACATACGAACATTCTTATATTGTAAATACGCATGTAATTATCTATTTCAGATGGCAAACTTATAATGATAAATCAATAAATACGTCAGGATGTTATCCCTATCCATGTCCACATACGCATATGCGTACATATGTGTGTGTGTGTGTGTGTGTGTGTGAATG